ACGTCAAGGGTCGTGTAGACATTGATGGTGAGATTGAAAAGGCAACTAAGAAGCTAGAGAAGACTCGCACAGGTGTCGAGAAACAGAGAAAACTTCTTGATGACCCCGCTTATCAAGAGAAAGTCAGCAAGGAACTGCAAGAGATAGAGAGAAAGAAGCTGGGAGATCTTGAGACTGAACAGCGTGGCTTTAAGGAGACTATCAAGCAATTTGAGACTTTGAAGTTAGAGTAGAGTATATGCATGTTTTTGTAGATTTCTAAATATTAAAACATCCAAGAAATACCAGAAGTTTCTCAATCAATCTCGAGCTTAAAACTGCGACTGTACGTCTACCTTCTTATGGTACAACCGATATCATTACAGGATCTAGAATTTATATTTAAATTCCCGATTGTTAGAATATCGAACACATAGATAACTCAAAAAGTTTCATTCAAATCACTATTTCTTGTATTCTAGAGATTTCTGTTTGATAAGGCACGACTTTCTTTGCTATCAAATACTAAAGGTTGGATCATCCGTTACAAACACTCCTTAATGGACCTTATTTAGAGAGGAATGCCGACCACATCTCCAACATCGAGGTGGCTGAAAGTCAGTAAGAAGAAAAGAAGAATGGCGGGTGGGTGTTGTTTTCCTACACGTAAAAAACAGACAGAGGCAACAGGGAATGTTACCAAACCAAGTACCAACTAAGCGATACGTACATTATCTAGACGCTACTTTATTAATGAGTTGGTTTGATTACGAACAAAACTCGGAATTGGAATGGTTTGGTGAGATTTTCCATCCTAATACGGAGTGTGATGGTGAATATGTCGCTTAAACACAAGTATATCTCCTGAAATTAATTATTTTCATTATTTGCACTCACCTTAAATGCTATGTTCCTTCGGCTATGTTCTTTGAGCTTGGATTTTATCGCTGATAAGCCGTTCAAATAGTAAAGCGAGAGTAATCTTGCAGGAAGTATTTTGAAAAATGAGTTATAGAATGGCGCATAGCTCTGCAGAGACGAAACAGCAAGAGAATACCGATTGAGTTTTGGAACGAAACAGCTGGTCCAGAGAAAGCTCTGGGGGCCCAATGAGTTGTCTAATCCTTCAGTATTCATCAGGGTCAATCTTTCTGCGATTTATCTTTAAAGTCATAAATGTGGCAAGAGCTACGGGAAGTGAACTTTCGCTTTTCCCTACAACTGCAACCTTTTCCCACAACAACACCATTGAGAACAGCTTATCGCCCAGTGACCATTACGAAAATATAACTGTTGCTCCTCATTTCCTCCATTCAGATGGCTTCGACAAATCACAAAGAAACACCAGAAATTTCGAAATATGTTGTATGGCCCCCCATCATCAAGCATGTTGTCCCACTGGGTTATTTATACGATGGTAAGTTGATTCAAACTTCATAGAGACTAAAGATCTAAAAATATCTAAGAGAGCGGAAATTCCTATCCCAGAATGGGAGGAAGATCAAGTGCGTTGCCAAACGGACATGTGCTATTCCAATTCAACAACACATTCTGCCACAATGCAGCCGGCCAATTTTTAGGAAAAACCGATTCTACACTCTCATTTCTCACCAATCCTACCAATCCGGTCATGTCGAGATACCTGGCGCCGCCTGGATCAATTAATGTTGAAATCACCGAGAGACAAATCCCAAGCTTGTTCAAGCGCTTCGAGGATGAACTTGACAAGAAAAACGACAATAAGGTCTTCTGGGCCACTGGTGGAATTGCATGGTACCTTATTACCGGTGCTGCAGCATATGGATGGACATTCTTCGAATACAGAGGTATCAGAAAGGATGGATCGACCTTTCTTGTAGCAGTCGGTATAGCTTCAGTGGAGGTTAATTACCGGACCAATCCAACGACTATTGTAGCGAAGCGTGAGATGGCTGGCTGGAGCGAGCGCATCTTATTTTATGTAAGTCTACCAATTCTCTACAACACGAAAAACACTGAGAAAACGATAGCCCAGTGAGCCTCGACTTGGAACTTTCTCTGTTCTCTCTGATGGTAAATATTTATACGCCTACGGACACAAAGGTGGCGATCACAATGGAGATTATGACGTGGTACTAGGTCGTGTACCTTTGGAGCTGGCAAACGCAAGAGCTTGTTGGGAGTACTGGGGAGGTGGAAGAGGCTGGGTCAAAAATCACTTCTTCTCCTGGCCAGTTCTCAAGAATTATCAGCATGGTCAAATATTTGACACAAAGCTGTTCGGAGAGGGTTCACCATACAGATTTGGCTTTGTTGGTTGCACTCGGACAGGTGATAGTAAGTTAATGTTCGGAAGAGCCGTCAATCCCTGGGGCCCATTCGAAATTGTCGAACTGATGAAGGCATACCCTCTGGGCCATATACAGAAATTTGCATACACTGCCCACATGTTTGCTCATCCCTGGGCATTCCCAGAGAGTAAAGGGGATCTAATGGTCACTTGGAGTGAAGGAGGGTCGGCAGGAAATATAGTCGCAGTAAAGATCCGCTTTGAACAGGGCATCGGTCGCTTACAACCGAAGGAGCTGAGAGTTGTCCAACGCATCGAGGAAGAATCAGACAATAACAATATCGCATTATCGGAGTTGCAACTCCACGATGAGTTGTATAGCTTTGAACGGTACGAGAAAGACGGTGAGCAAAAAGCCGTGATCGCCACACCCGAGAAGAAGAATGTATTTGAGAAGGCTGCTGCGGCATTTGGTAAACTATGTAATAAGAGTGCTGAATAGGGACAATTGCACACGAGACGAGAACGATGAAAGGGGATTGGTTGAACAGTTTTGACACAGTATCTGCAATCTTAGCATTCGAGGATAGTTGTTGAAATTACCGCAGGATATGCCATAGTACTTTGATGGGACTGCCCAGCATAGACATGAACATATCTGCAATCTTTATCATTATCATCAGAGGTCTATCCAATGCATTGTGTGGTCCAAGTGCAGTGACTATTGCTTGTTGTAAAGAAAGGGTAACATAATCGACTAGACTGGCAGCATGGAGAATATCAAGCTTTGAAGAGATTCGAGGAATACACTACTGTAATACCAGACAAGAAATCATATCATCATCTATCAGCTCCAAGTAAAGCTTCTATATAATCCAACAGGCATTTCATGATCTGTACTCACAGTGCTACATGTGACCATGAGGCTAATCTTGTGATGAGTTAAGTTTAGAGTGAAGTGAAGTGAAGATTGATTTGAAATCCACATCTCGATTCGAGAAGGTAGGCGAATCTACGATTAGTCAGCCACCAAGCTACAAAAAAGCGCGCTAACGCTAAGAAGCTCGGACCGTTCCGAGATATCAGGAACTTTCAACATTATCAAGCGCGCCTCATTTTGAATACAGACAAATTGCTATCGACGCATACTCACCATTGTGTATTCTGCTACTTTTCATACAACAAGAGACGACTATCGAAGCTTAAGAGAGTTGTTTCACCTCTCCATCAATTGCCACAATCAGATTCAACAAACAAACCTTCACAAACTTGATTCGTACCTACAGCTATAATCCTCCGCCCGAACCAAATCTCACATCTGCAAAATGGCCAACTACCTCGCCTCCATCTTCGGTACTGAAGCCGATAAGGTCAATTGCTCCTTTTACTACAAAATCGGCGCCTGTCGCCACGGCGACCGCTGTTCCCGCAAGCACGTCAAGCCCTCCTACTCGCAGACCATCCTCCTCCCCAACCTCTACCAGAATCCCGCCTACGACCCGAAAAACAAGATGAATGCGTCGCAGTTGCAAAACCACTTTGATGCTTTCTACGAGGATTTCTGGTGCGAGATGTGCAAGTTTGGCGAGATTGAAGAGGTCGTCGTGTGTGATAATAATAATGATCGTATGTCTTCTTCATCTATTTTCATTTTCCCCTTTCCTCCTTTCCCAATTCCCCAAGAAAACCCTTCGAATAGACAAACAGAGACTAACATATCCCCAACAGATCTCATCGGAAACGTGTACGCGCGCTTCAAATACGAAGATTCCGCGCAAAAAGCCTGCGACGCATTAAATTCCCGCTGGTATGCCGCTCGGCCAATCTACTGCGAGCTCTCCCCCGTCACCGATTTCCGCGAAGCATGCTGTCGGCTCAACAGCGGCGAAGGATGCGTGCGTGGCGGATTTTGCAATTTCATCCATCGCAAGAATCCGAGCGATGAGTTAGATCGCGAGTTGGAGTTGAGCACGAAGAAGTGGTTGAGGATGAGGGGGAGAGATGAGAGGAGCGTAACGAGAAGTCCTAGTCCCGAGCCCACGAGGAAGAGATATGCGTGAGGTGGAAATAGAGATGGATATTGTGGAATGGTCATCTGGGGCGAGAGGGTAGGATGATGGGCGCATTGAAATCTGGGGCGAGGACAGTTGAGGAATGCTTCTTGGGAGGAAAACGATGATGCTGACGGATACTTCTCAAGACATGCAACGCACGAATATTCGACATCTCCTAACACTATTTCGTTTCTACTCTCACGCTCTACAGACAAAACGAGACGCACACTCTGTCATGTTTTAAGTTCATAGTGGAAACACGCCAATTTTTGGCCGCAAATCTTAACTATGGAGAAACTAATTTGTGGAACCACCCATGGAAAATTTGACATGATATGCAGAGCGTAGGGTCTTTGGTACGAGGCACTGGGGATCTTATGAATTTGTATTCATACAAGGCGTTTCATGGTCATCTATCTATTCATTTCAATAACCTGGGGAATATTAAAGCAAAAAGCAAAGCAAAACACAGCAAAGCAGCATGAGGCTGCTCATGTATAATAACCACATCAAAATTTTGATAAAAACGCAAATAAAAATATATCCAAAGCACATGCATGTATTCACGTGAAGTTAATGTCAAAAACATGTAGAATAGAAGTTGTGTATATTTCATTAGTTAAAAGCATCCGTCCATGCAGCCAGTTCATTCCATTTGCATGATTATTTCATCAATCCATTCTCCCATCCAGCAATCTCATCGCAGACTGTCAAAAATCCCAACATATATAACAAAGGTACAGGTTGACCCCCGCCCGTCCAATCTAGTAGTATATCCGAGCTTCCAAAAATTGCGTGTGAATCCTTACCCTGCCCTTTTCAACCATAGAAGAAAAAGGAAATCTTGATAGTAAAGCGGGTTGAAATTCTCAGCTTGGGTGACACCAAGTATCACATGTGAACTTATGCATTGGCCAAGCTCAGCTCATTCCGACATCCCAGCGCACCTTCCTTTCTCGAATCATCCCTCAGCATCTACAAACTCGTCTACACTGTGAGTATCCGTATCCTGTCGATACAGAGTGGAGGTGGCCGTTCCCTGGGTGTCAGTAGCTGCTGGTAAGTCTTTTCTTAGATCATCATGGAAGTCGATTAATGGACCCTGGTTCTGACCTTGGACCGTACTAGTGGACTGGAGGATTCGCTCAAGATCCTTTTGTTGCTGCCCATTATTTTGTGTCTGAGCTGCAAGGAGATCAGCTGGTACATGCTGGGATTGGACTGGCGCTGGTGATTCTCTTCCCAAATCAATGAGATTCTCCTTGTCCTTCTCCTGAGAGGGAATTGAGACTGGAGCTGCTGCCACTGGGATCGTGGGTGGTAATGGATTGGCCTGTTCTGTATGTTGGTGATGCTGTGGAGGAATACGGTTCTTTTCCGTGAATTTCTGACCTGGAAGGATTGGATAAACCGCGAGGATTTGTTCCGTCTGTTCTTGTGGACTAGCGCCATCACTGTTTTCCATGTTAGCAAAACATTTGACAAATAAGCCTGTCCCAACTTACATGCTTGCATTCAAGATCCAATCGAGATCTTCTTCGCCCTCTTCGGACCCACCGGGGCCACCTCGTACTGGTCTAAACAACCTTGGAGTCCACTCAACACCATCTTCTGCTCTCTTTGCAGCCTCATCTCTCTGCATATCTTCGATAAATGTCTTCTCATCTGTCGCAACTTCGTGGTTGCGTTCTTTAACCGCTTTTGCCGTCTTAAACCATAACTTTTGCGATTCTCTATCATCTTGTTCTTCTAAAGGTCTCACTAATGGAGGTGATGGTCTCGCTCTCGTAGCATCAAACAAAAGATCTTTCTTACCCGTCTAAAAGCATGATCAGTAGCTTTTACGAGTCGTCCAGGATTTAGGATCATACCTTAACGTTCTTGATAAACATTTCTCCATTCCACATACCCGAAAGCTCATAGAGAATTTCCCCTGTCTTGTCATTCTTGATACTACCCCCAATAGCATTGTAAGTTCCTCCAAAGTAGCCCTTCGTCTTGAACTCAATATCTGCGCTCAATCCGAGCTCCGGGCAGCGCACAAAACTATGATCACCGAGCTCATACTTCATCTTACCGAAAAGAATACCTCGAGCGTACATGTTGGGTTGAGTCAGAATGCTAATAGCAAGTTAGAATCCGAGAGTTTCCCGTGTTCAAAGTTCCGCAGTATGAAACCTACTATCTTTCTCCTTTAGGTCCAGTCCCTCTGTTCAAAAATCTCAAAATAGCAATACCCTCCATCATACTAGCCGCAGAATTGCCCAAAAATTTGCTTCGAGGTTTCAAACATCCGTCGATTCGTATATTGTGTTCTGGCGCCATGTAAAAGTAGCTTGATTTCGGAGGATGATGAGAGGTTTGCTCGGAAATATAGTATCCCTTTGTATTATCTGGAAACTGCCAATAACAAGTATAAATTTCGCCGAGGATAGGATTGAGTGGTTTCTTAACCCCTCTGCAATATCTCATTAGCACAACCGCTCCTCTCAAACATGTCGAGTCGGCCTTACGGAGGTTTGATGTGCCATCCACTCAGGTAGAACTTCACCACCGAAGTAAATCTTTGCAAGGGGTCCTCGACCTCCGCCATGGGAAGCAGAGTTTCCGGATGTGCCATGAAGCTATACACCATCAGCAAGCCTGCCCTTCAAATCCGCATCCCTCCCGAAGCTCCGACATCTACGCACTTTGTGATTCTTTCCAGCATACTTCTGGGCTCGAGAATAAAGGTAGGCAAGACGACGCGGCTCAGATCAGCCCCCGGACGAAGCTGTGAGATGATGTGTGAGAGAACTGTATGCCATTCCACCATGTCAGCCTCTACCCCATTTCTCCCGTGTCAAATCTCAAGGACTCCTACCATTTCCCTGATCTGGCTCAACGACCGTAGTCTCATCCTCGGCATCAGAAACCTTTGACTCGTCGACGGAAGACCGGTTGCCTAGAATTGCCATATTGTTATTAGCGATGCTATTCTAAATCGTCTATTTCGCTCCGTGGTAATAGCACATCAAGAAAGCACATTCCAGCCCGAGAAGAAACATACTTGCACCAGACTGCCTCCGATGAACATGACCCAAGCTAACCATCCTTGCGATTTAATAAATTGTAAGTACGAGTATCGTAGAGCGTTCTTTCTTTCTAGATGCTGTGGAAATTAAGAGAAGATCTGCGTATCCACCACTTTCCGAATGAGTGGATGTAATGGGAAGCTGGGTTGGGCGAAGGCGTGAACAAATGTAAAGGATTTCAAGGTATGTCGTTGTTGGAAAGGGTTTGGGCAAAAAGTGTGAGTAAAAACCTCAGGTGGACCATTAAAAAGTGTTCGTTAACGGCAGGAAGTACCAAAATGTGCTGAATAGAGGGGAGATCCGAGGAACCATGCAACGTCACAGGGCTTAAATATGGGTAAAATTTAAATTTAGTGTATCACTGACAATGGTGGATGATGTGATGCGGTAAGTACTGGTAGACGTGACAGACAGGTAATGAGTCGACGGACAGACAGGGTAGGGAGATATTCTTGTGAATTGAGGCGATTGTTTATCTAGTATGGATGTTTATGTAAGAATATATGTAAGAAAAGATGGTTATTTATATATACAGATATCTATATGTCTATATGTCTATATGTCTATATATCTATATATCTATATGTTTATATGTCTATATGTCTATATGTCTATATGTCTATATGTCTATATGTCTATATGTTTATATGTCTATATGTCTATATGTTTATATGTCTATATGTCTATATGTCTATATATCTATATATCTATATGTCTATATCTATATATCTATATATCTATATATCTATATGTCTATATGTCTATATCTATATGTCTATATGTCTATATGTTTATATGTCTATATATCTATATGTCTATATGTCTATATGTCTATATGTTTATATGTCTATATGTCTATATGTCTATATGTCTATATGTCTATATGTCTATATATCTATACACCTACTCATACCTTCCTCCCTATGAGAGTCATCAATCAATTTATATATGTATCTACCTACCCGTACTACCCACCCACCTGCCTACCTACCTACCAACCTATCCATCTATCAGGAAGTGAGCCGTGTGGCGGAAGTAGAGAGACACACCTGGGCACCTGGCCCAAAGTTACTTTTGCTACCCGTAGACCTACCTACCTACGCATTGAGAAAAGATCTTTCGTCATCGGAATTATCAAGAATTTCCAGATTCCGACTTTTACAAAGCTTCCTCCCCCCTTTGTGCAGTAGCAATACTACATACCTACCTAGGTCGGTACTGTATTGCAAACCTTATTTACCTACCTAGTATACCCATTACCCATCTACTCCGTACCTGCCGCTCCTATCACCATCACCATCACCATCATTAAATTGATATCAATAATCTATACAATTTTATCTACCTACCTACCTACATATATACATACTAGGTACATACTATACACGAGATACACAGATACCTCCTCCCTAGATACCTACCGAGATATGTCCTATCTCATCGCACTACCTAGTACTCACCGACCTCCTACGGTACCTACTAGGTACATAGTAGATACATGTCTCCCTCCTCCCTACCCAAACATTACCTATCCAGATACACAGTACAGTATACGGTACAGCCGCACAAGAGCTAACCACCTAACCACCTAGTAACCAATTCAACATTCCATTCCCTAGGTAATCAAGAAAAAAACGCTTTGTGCCTCTCTCCGAGTCTCCCTCCCTCACTCACGAAATAATCACTAGCTGCGGGGTCATTCAATGACGACAATTTTCAGTTCCCAAAACACGCCAAGTTCCATCTCATCTCATCTCATCTCATCTCAACGCTCATCCCCTTAATCCATCCATCCATCTATACGCGTATTGAAAATACTTATTAGGTAGGTAGGTACCCAAATACGCGTGAGATGTTTGGGAATACGAGTAGACCAATCAGGTTACTCAACACAACTCGCTCTACCCACTAACAATATTGAAAAAAACCCCCCCCAAAAAATACCATGCATATGGATATCCCAATCCCGATCAACAAAGAGATATATACCTAATATCTACTCGTAGGCTACCTAGATATGTAACTCTCAATGAATAATTCAATCTGCACATCCACATCCACGTCCACATCCACGTCTACACTCACATCTACCTACCTACTAGGTACCTACCTACCTACCTCTACCTAGGCATCCCTCAACTCTCCCCAACTTCAAACCCCATTCATTATTCATTCAAAGCATACTACATATGTACTACAAAGTCAAAAAATATATATTAATTTATCCATATCCCATATCCCATATTCCTGTCCATATTCTATGGTTTCCCACATTCACGATCGAATTTGGATCCAATCCAATACCCAGATGTCCATCCATTCCCCTTCTTCCCCCCCTTTTCCTTCCTTGTTCCTCAAAGTAGCCTCTCTCAACGTAAGAAATCAACCACTATCTTCCTACTATGCTTATTATTACAAGGATCGTGAATGTCAGATATTATATAGACAGGATACGTAAATTATATGCCTTTCTGATTCTCCAAGGGGTTCCTCTTTCCCCTCCCCCATTTCATTCCAATCAATCAGCTGTTCCCTCCACCCAACCATGAAAAGTTCATCGCTATCCACCTATCGCCATATTACTCCGGTCCTTTTTACAATACACGTAGGGCTGCATAACACCAAGAGACTTTTTCGACCAAGGAAATTCGTTCATGTGACGATCAAATGCATATTAGTAAAGTGAAAACAGTGAAACGTGTGCGAAAGCTTCCAATCATCGAGGATTATCAATAGATGAGCTTGCACTAATTCGTCCATCCACCAGTTCAGCAGAGCTACCGAGATATTGCGGATTGTTCTCCGGTGGGTTGATGGTGTGGATGTGGTGCTGTGAAACATATCCTACGCTCGTCGGCCGATCATGTCCATACCCCTCGGTAAAATTACCGAATGAAGTGTTCCGAGAATGTCCATATCCCTCATGCGGTGCTATGCTGGATCTAGCAGAGATGTCGGAATGTCGCTTGTTGGAATTCGATCTTTCAAAAGGGAGTCTGGAAGTGAGTGAATTTTGAGGCGTGTGACGACTGATACCTGGAATAGTTAAGTCCACACTTGTATTCTGTGATTTTCGACGGGAACTCTTTCGTGGAACTGTAGGTGTTCGAGCTGGAGGACTTAAAGGCATATTTGGTATTGGGTCGCCGGCTCGTGAGCCATGAGGTACTCTTGAGCTAGCTTTTGAAGGAAACCTACTAGGCAGCTCCATACCACCTTCAGGGATTTTAAATCCTTGCAGCGAAGGGGGAATATCAGAAATCCTGGTCATTTCGAACTCATCCTCGTCGTCATGGTAGCTCTGTCCATCATCCGATCCCATAGGACTGACCAATTCACCATCATCGGCATCTGCGCCATCCACATGCGACGGGCCAGCTCGTCCTGATGGGCCGGCGGTATCATGCTCATCATCAGAATCGGAATCAATCGGACCGTGTCGAATTGCTCCTGTGGCTACTGGGATTCCTTCCGGTGGTGATTCATCACCAGGTGCATTCCTTGCATTGCTCAGTCCTCCTGGTGGCATCCTAGAGCTTCTCACAACCTCAAATCCTTTACCTTTCTCCTTCGTCTTGCCTTTGAAGAAGCTCTTGAACCAGCCTGCAGCGGAGGCAGGAATTCCCGTAGGATCTGCAGGACCAGTTTTGATTCTCCGACTAGGTGCTTCAGCGTTCAGAGCAGGTCCACGAACGCCGTAGTAGAAGTCGACCTCTCTTGTAGTGTAGTCAGCCTTCGATCGGTTAAGCTCCAATGGAGCTCCATCTAAAGCTTGATGCTGAGATGGACTATTACGGCCAGAAATTGAAGGGCCCTCCAAAGGCTCAATGGTATCAGGATCGGCAGGTGGTGATTCGTGCCTATTAGTCCAATCACCACTAGCCCATGATCCTCGACTTTTTGCCCCTGGGGAATAAGCATCTGCAGTCGGCCGGCGGAATCTAGGAGGCCGATAGTAAGGATCGGCTGTGTCGGTGGTATCCAAGCCTAATATGGCACCTTTATTGCGTCCCCGGCCGCTTGGGGCGGCAGCAGATGGCAAAAATGAAAATGTGCTTGCCTCTCCTGGCGTTGTTGGGGTATAAGAGCTCGGTGCACCGCTGCCGACATGATGTGTAGGCATTGCACCGAACGCATCTACAGTCATATTATCGAGATTCGCACTTTGTCTATTGAGCAGGATCCCAGCGCTACCCGCAGACTGACTCCGGAGCCTGCCTCCTTCGACTAAATATGATTTTCTGTCTTGGTCAGAAAGCATAGCAGCGCTTGATAATTGACTTTGGCGCGATGTGGCATCCCGACGGGGCAATCTTCTAGACAATTGTCGCATACCAAATACCTTAGAAAGACCACCTCTAGCTGCGCCACTCTCATTGCCTCCGGCACCCGCAAGCCTGGCAGCAACTTCAACAATCGTCTGCATTGCATTCAACATGAAGCCAAGGATAAGAACAATGGCGTGCATTAGGAGAATCGCATAGCCAACCCAGCCCTTTGGCCCTTCAGTAATACCAAGTGAAGGAGCAAATGCTATCATTAACAAAATGGTGGAAAAGCGCACCGCGGCGAAGAATGTGTGGTAGGCATTCATTGATGTTGGCGAATGAAAAGGTCGAAACGCATGTAAGGTTAATATTGTGATGACTTCGCAAATCGCAAGAAGAACCAGCTGTGCAATGCCTGATGGTTGAACAGCTCCGATTGAGATGCCGCGGAGAAAGGTCAGGAGTACCGGTACGAGAGCGAAAGGGGCCGCATTGTCTGAATATGTGTTGTACAACGCTCCGTAGGTAAGCACCGTTGGAAGATCATCGAATAGGTATGACTTTGGTCTTGCTGTTGCGATAAGGTACAACAGGTAGATGGCAAAAATGACGATTACGATCAGCATAAGTAACGCTAGACCTGTCGTATAGGCCGGTGACCTAGAAGCCTCGACTAATTGAAACATGGAAAGGGCAACGATGGGAAGCAAGAAATAATTAAACACAATACGAATCACGTTTCCAACGGAAAATGGCACGTGTTTCTTCCTCAAATCCTCTTCTTGAGTGCCCATTAGCAGCCTCCACGCCCAACGCGTGGCGAAACCCAGCTGAATCAGTACAAGGACGACTCCAATAATAGCCAAAAGCCAAACGGCCATGCCAGCCCAGACATCATCAGATTCCCCCATTCCAATCAGTTGTCGCATGCGATCAAGACCATAGGTTCCATTCACTACGTATATGCCGTCGACCAGACTGTCATGATAAGTGTTGCTGACGAAGCTTTCATTGAACATCAATGATGACCATGCAACTTTACTAACGATTGGTTGATAAAAGCCGGGATAGTCAAGTGTTAAGCCTCCGGTAAGAGCAACAAATTGGATGTATTGTAAGCAATCGCCGAACCCAGGTGTGACCAAACGGA